CCGATTCCCCTGCAACGTCAGGTCTCTAGGAGAGAAAGGGTCTACGGGTGCAGAACGAGCTGCAGGATGATCGGAGTTGTTCTTTGTCCCCAGATCGGCACTGGGAGGGCAAACAACAGTTTTCTGCCAGCCTATGAGAGCATTCTTGTAAATACAGCAGATACACTGAAGCCATTCATACCCCCCAGGATGGCACCGCAGCCAAAACTCATGGTTAAGACAGCAGCCTTGTCCTTTGGCTTAACCAAAAGGAAAGTTGTCAGAAGTTATAAAGAAAGAAAAAGCCACAGAAAATATGACAAAGACTTGGAATGTAGTACTGGAAAAAACATTAGAAACAAAAGCAGTTAGGCAAACACATAGTCTTTTTTCCCCTCAAAATTATTGCCTTAAAACACTGAAATATGAAAAATCCAGCTTGTAAGTGAAGATAACTCATAATACTAGACCGTGCCTTAAGGGCAAAGATATACAATAGCTGTATGTAGATGATAAACACATGATTTGACCTAGCAGCTCCCAGAATAGGCATCAGGGCGATTTAGAAGGGCGGGGAGAAATCAACCCTTTGTTTTATCTGAAGGATGTCTCATTCAAAGTAGTTATATCAGATGAAACATCCGCCATTGTACTCTAATTTCAATCACAGATGGCTTCTCCCCCTCATGAACAATATACAGATTGCACAAGAGGATAATGAGACACGATGGCCAGGGAACAGAGGGGTAAAGGAATAAAACTTCATCATGAAAAAAAAAAAAAAATCCTGTATCTTTCAAGTAGTACCTAAGCAAAAGCAAAGATTCCTCACACACGCACACACTTTTCTCACTTGATCTTGCTTCTGTCTGGGATTTAACAACCTTCAAGTTGGGTCACTTTGACTGATGCCCCAACATTACTAGGAGGCAGCCACTCAAGTTCTCCCACGCTGTAAAGTCCCACTTCAGTATAAACAGAGCAGTCTCTTCAACGGCACAAATCTGCCCCTCAGCACACCACATCCCCACGCATCCTTCTCCCCCCCACTCCACCCCTTCACTACATCTCCCATCCATAAGAGAAGCACACAGAAAGGCCAGCAACCAGGAATTTAACTCCGAACTACTGATGCAATCTCTCCAGTAGCGCTCTGCCCAAGCACAGCGTTAACTTCAGCTGCAGCCACTCCTGGGGCAGCACCGATAAACTAACCCGAAATGAAGCAATCCGTTTCACAATGTAAACAGTTGTTTGGCTACACCGGAACAACATACGTGAACGGATCTATTTAGAAATCATCATTCACGCTTGCAGCAGAACAGGGAATAATATGTTCCAGGGCAGAAATTACAGTATTTCCAAGAATACAGTGGACACTCATGTAGCTTGTACCTTCTTCCACCAGCCTGCCCCACTGACACTCCCAGTTCTTTAGAAGCAATAAAAACAGACCGATCATGATTTTTCAAGAATAAGATACCCTTGATTTAAAACGACATTGGGGACGGGGGGGCACCCTTATTATCATACATATGGTTTCTTCCAACATCTCAAAAAAGTCAACGGTAGCATCTCTTAAAAGCAGTGAGGGGAAAAAAAAATACAAGACTGGAAAAAAAAAAAAAGGTTTAAAGGTTGGACTAGATGATCCTTGAGGTCCCTCCCAACCTAGGATTCTATGATTAAAAACGAGTCCTACTCCTACTTTTTCCACCGCTGCAACCCAAACAAACCAGTGTGTCCCCGAACTGCACGCTTCACTTGGATCTCAGAACACTGTCGGTGGATGCCAGCCCACACCCCCCTTTATTTATTGTTTTTCACCCCCTCGAGGAGCGGCTATCGCACTCCAAGGCGCTGTAGCTCGTTTATGGGAACCGCGGAGCAC